TTGAGAAAGTCTTCCCAAAATGCAGAATTGGGAGAACATGTGTCCTTCTTGCTGGGCATGAACTTGCCAAGAGATCTGAAGACCACAGAATCCACACCCTGGGAGAGTCTCTGCCTGTATTCCTCAATCCAGGAGAAATTATGGTGTCAGGGCACACACAGAAAAGACAAACACTTCACATTGCTCCTTGCAGCCAAGTCCTGCTTGTTGAAAATCTTCATTCAGGCCGGGTATGGTGGTTCACACCTATAATCACAGCACTTTGGGAGGCCAAGATGGGAGGATCACTTGAGCCCCAGGATTTGAGACCAGCCTGGGAAACACAGTGAGACCTCATCTCTACAATAGATCAAATAATTAGCCTGGCATGTTGGCACACACCTGTAGTCCCAGCTACTTGGGCGGGTGAGATGGGATCACTTGAGGTCAGGAGATTGAGGCTGTGGTGAGCTGTGATGGTGCCACTGCACTCCAGCCTCCAACTAAAAAATAATAGCAATAATAATACAATGAGGCTGGGCATGGTAATCTCAGCACTTTGGAAGGCTGAGACAGGAGGATTACTTGAGGCCAGGAGTTTGAGATCAACCTATGCAACATAGTGAGACCTCATTTCTATAAAAAAATAAAATTAGCCAGGCATCATGGTTTGCAGCTATAGTCCTAGCTACTCAGGATTGCCTGAGCTCAGGAGGTTGAGGCTGTGGTTAACTGTGATTGTGCCACTGCACTCCAGCCTGGACAACAGAGTGAGAACCTGAATAAAAAAAAAAAATCTTCATTCCAAAGAACATTTGTCAAAAGACACCTGCCAGATCCTTACCTCACCAGTATGTGATCAATCATGCAGTGTTTTATAAAATGCCAAAGTTTGGGGGGGGGGTGGAGGCCATGTTCTCCACACAAAGGTTCACCTACACAAAGCAGCAAGTGGTCTATTATTCAGTCTATAAATTCAGAAGGCGAAACGGTGCATTTATGAGCGAATGTTTGGATCTCAAGTGATGAATAAAGTTGGATATCTCATCCTAGGGATCTAAAACCTCCCAGATTTGGTTTGGTCAACCAGGCAATTAGAATAATTTGAGAAATGCATGAAAAGCCTTGTATAACCACAACTGTTGCTGCGAAATTTGTTTTTCCTCTGTAGAACGAAGCTGCATTCTCCTACGAACTCTCTGGAATGTTGCCCAGCTCACAATGAAGAAATTAATACCTGGTTTGTTCAGGGTCCTTGGAATAAACGTCTGACTTTGTACGTTGTCTTCTGAGAAATCTAAAGTAATTATCGTCTATATTATTTTTAATTTAAAAGAAGGATGCGCTTGCTTTTTCACTTTTGGCTGGGGTCAATTATGGGATCTGCTCCTATCAGTTTAATAACGGATACGTCCTCCATCCAAGGACAGTATATCAATGGGATTTGAGGATTAGGGAGACATAAGAGGAACTTGCTGGTATTGAAGTAGTTTCAAGAACCGTGGAGGAGAAGGGGGCAAAAGGGGGAGAAGGAGGAGGATGAAGAGGAGAAAGAGGAGGAAGGGGAGAAGGAAGAGAAGGAGGAGAAGAAGAAAAACAACAACAACAACAACAACAACAACAGCAACAACATGGAGGAAGGGGACAGTTAACAAGGACAACAGGAAGGAAGGCCGCCTTGACAATGTGACAGTTCAGCCTGTGAGCCCCATGTTAGACTTTTTTTTTCCTCTTTATTTTTGATTCAGGGTATATACCTGCATGTTCATTCCAGGGACACATTGTGGAGTGGCGGCGATTGGGTTTCAAGTGGCCCATTCCCCAGATAGTGAACATTGTTCGTTGTAGGTAATTTCTGAACCCTAAGTCTCCTCCCCACTTCCCCTGTTATTGATGTGTCCCCAGTGTTTATGATTTCCATCTTTGTGACCATAGCCAAGTGTGGAGGTACATGCCTGTATTCCCACTTACTCGGGAGGCTGAGGTGGGAGGATCACCTGAGCCCAGGAACTGGAGGCTATATGGAGCTATGATCGCACCACTGCACTCCAGCCTGGGTGACAGAGTGAGACCTTGTCTCTAAAGGAGAACAAAAATGATTTAAGATGCCAAACTGTATGTTATATATGTTTTTCCACAATTATTATTATTATTATTATTTTTTGAGTTGGAGTCTCACTCTGTCACCCAGACTGGAGTGCAGTGGCTGCTCCCAGCCACCGCTGCCTCGACCTGCTGAGCTCTGGTGATCCTACCACCTCAGCCTTCCAAGTAGCTGGAACTACAGGTGTGCACTACCACACCCAGCTAATTTTTTATTTTATTGTAGTGATGAGGTCTCGCCAAGTTGCCTAGGTGGGTCCTGAACTCGCGGTCTCAGGCAATCCACTCACCTCAGCCTCCCAAAGGTGCGGGATTACAGGCTGAGCCACCGAGCCCAGCTCACAATTAATTTTTTTAAAAAGAACATACTTATCTCTACAGACTCCAATTGCTAAAGGACAGTCTTCCTGTCATTAAAACAAATATAGTCAACAAAAATAATGATTTACATCAGGTTGAGATAGCTCTTCCAAGTCACCTGATGTCTGCCAAAGCAGTAAATGTAAAATCTTCAAAATATTTATAGAGATAATAGCATTCTGCTGATAGAGTTTGAAAGTTAAAAATTTTAATTTGGCCGGGTGCGGTGGCTCAAGCCTGTAATCCCAGCACTATGGGAGGCTGAGGAGAGGGGATTACCTGAGCCAACAGGTTCAAGAACAACCTGGGCAACTTGGCGAGATCTCATCTCTACAATAAGTCAAAAAATTAGCTGGGTGTGGTAGTGTGCACCTGTAGTTCTGGCTACTGGAAGGCTGAGGCAGAAGGATCGTGGAGCCCAGCAGGTCGAGGCTGCGGTGGC